TGTTCTCAGTCTGTGCATACTAGTGAACTAAAAAAAATAAAATCAAAAGTTGCCACAGTGGATTTGTACGCCTAAAGAAAAATCATGTAAAAAAATCCATTGTGCAATGTATGTAACAGTTAACTGGCAGTAAAGCCACAACTCAAACATACAACCATCATCAATAACAGAGGGGTAATAACAAGACCCTATATACATTAAGATGCTACTTTTAAATAGGGATAAGATTTGGGTTCAAGTTAAACATGAGTTTGCATTTCGTCAAATGGGCAAACAAACTGGCCATATTAGGCCAGTTTGTTCACCCAAACCCACAGTTTATAGTCAATTATCAGCTGGAACTGAAAGTATGGTGTAGATTTCTCCCCCAAGAATTCATAAAAGACCCTCATCCAGGCATGCAGCCAAGGTGGCCAACAAAAGGATGGGGCAGTGAGTATGCACCCCCCTCAGAACCATTCTAGGCCACATGCCTTCAACAATAAGGTACTTAGCAAGGAGGGGGTGTCGGTAAAGTTGTGCGTCACCATTGACCAACCATATCTTGTCAATAATGTTCCAGAGCGCCCCCCGCCCGCAGTGGGATCGCCCTGCAAGCACTATTTTTGCAGATCGCACTGGACTGGAACGCAGGTACTAATATGCCACGCGTTCGGGGGCAGGCGATCACACTGTGGGCAGGGGGCGTGGCCGCAGTGCCATTGACTTCAATGCACCGACACGCCCCCCTCCATTGAATGTAGGGAGTTGGCCGAAGTGCGATACAGTGCGTTCCAGAGCCTGACCACTCTGGGGTGCACCGTTTGTGGTGTGAACCAGCCCTTATTATAGCCCTATCTCTGATCACACTATTACTTAGCAGAGAGATTTCTCTTAAATGGCAGTAAAGCTGAGCTCCAGTCTTACCTATTTTTCCCACACTTGTAGCAAGTCCTCTCCTGTTTTGAAACAGATTACTCTAATTTCCTTGCAAACATATATCGTCTGTACTGTCCTAGGTGTCTATAACCCTTATCCCTCCCTCCGATGTGAGCTGTCAGATGAATAATGAATAAAATCTTTCAAAACCCTTAAAGTGACTGGCGCTCAATTTTACATTCACATCATACAACCGGCTAAGGACTCATCCCTGAGGTGAAACGTTAGCACACCCTGCCTTTGGGGTCTCTCACATGCTTCTGGGGGTCAGGGAGATGCTACATATGGAGTTAGGCAACAATTATACATAGGCCTGATAGTAGCCAGGTGATTAAGGGCAGTGTATTTGTAGGCATGTTTTTTTTTTGCATGTTTTTACATGCCACTTGTAGTACAGGAGCAGAGGATACGTTTCTGGCCCCGTAGACTTAAGTGGGAGCACCTGCATTCCCCTTTTTTTTAGGTGCTCCCATTAAGTCTATGGGGCTAAAAATGCATGATTCTGCCCCAAAAGAAGCCCACATACTTTCACGAAGTCTACACAGCAAAGCGAAAACACTTCAATGTGAATGGGTCCATTGAGAATAATGAGATTCTTCATCTTGAGCACTGTTGTGCTGTAGGAATTGCACAACAGAATGCTCAGGTGTGAATAGGGCCTTATGTAGTATAAACTAGAGTACAAATAAAAAGGGGGAGGGGGGTGGAAGGGGAGAAGAAAGTTGGC